ACTATAACATGGTGAAATCTTTCTTTGAATAAAGGAATGGGTAGCGATGATGAAGTTGTCACTCTTGGGAGCCTATGGATTTCTCCATAGTATGAAGCCACAGACGAGCTGTTGTCTATTATGAAAAGTACATGTACTCACAGCATTTAACAATAATCCCTCCAACTGAAAGAGAACTGGCTCACTGGATCACTCAACCACTGTTCTGCACAGGATAACATATAGTGGAAAAATGCAGTCTGGTGCTGACTTTAATTTTTGTTTTCTCCTGCAGGCGGGTAGAGATAGGACACAGTTGTTGCCAATGAACTTTCAGTAGATGAAGAATCCTGAACGTTTGAATTGCCCTTTCCTCCAAGTGGGAGGGAAAAAATCAGTTTCCTGGGCTGGAGCAAACAAAGACTTAGATAAACCTCAAGCCAAAGATAAAAGAAAAAAGGTAGGAAAAAAGGCCACATGCAGTGGCTCACACCTGTAATCCCTGTATTTTTGGACGCTGAGGGAGGAGAATCCCTTGAAGCCAGGTGTGGTGTTCACGACCGGCCTGGACAACATTGTGAGACCCCTGCTCTACACAATTTTTAAAATTAGCTGGACATCGTGGCACATGTCTGTAGTCCCATCTACTCAGGAAGATAAAGTAGTAGGATCACTTGAACCTGAGTCCTAGGTTTTGATGAGCTGTAAGTCGTGCGGTGCACTCTAGCTTCGGCAACAGACAGAAACCCTGTCTCAAAAAGTGGATGGGTGTGTGAAGACACATTCCAGCCTTGTCTTCAGCTGGGCTGCCCCCCACAGTGGCAGCCCTGTCTAAACATTTGAGATGGAGTCTCTTTTGGCCATGGTACTCGTAAGTCTGTGAATGTGGAATTTAGTGCTACAGGTGTGAGGGAAATTACAATGAGATTTAAAAAACGAGTGCATTTGTTTTTGCTTTTGTTTTTGTTTTGAGATGGAGTTTTGTTCTGTTGCTAAGGACGGAGTGTAATGATGCAATCTCCGCTCACTGAAACCTTCACCTCCCAGGCTCAAGGAATTCTCCTGCCTCAGCCTTCTGAGTAGCTTGGATTACAAGCACCTGCCACCATGCCTGGCTAAGTTTTGGTTTTTTTTTTAGTAGAGATGGCATTTCACCACGTTGGCCAGGGTGGTCTCAAACTTCGGATCTCAGGTGATCAGCCTGCCTCGGCCTCCCAAATTGTTGGGATTACAGGCGTGAGACACCGTGCCTGGCCAATTCGGGTACCGTTGTAAAATGGCTTTGTGTTTTGTGGCTATTACATCTGGATGTGTGATATTAATGGAAAGCTCCAGCAGTTTGACTACTTTATGCAGTTGCCACAAGCAAGGAATTCATTTTTTCTACAATTCTCACAGGATAAGTGGTAGAGACAAAAGGGATGGATGTTATGTAAACTGATTTTTAAATTTTTTCGAAATTCAGGATTTCACCCTCTCCATTTCACAAATATGATGAATCTTTTCACTAAATTTACATTATAATTTGTTTTTCAGAAGATATTTTTTCCCTTCTGTTCACAATCTTTCTGGAAAAAAAAAGGTCTGGAGGACGAAACGAGATGATTAAAGAGACAAAAACTTTTTATCACAGAATACTGTATGCTGATTTTTTAATAGTGGAGAAAACAGAAAACCTGGCACATGAGCAGAGGCAAGGGAAGGAAGAAAGACATTGGTTGTCACTGTTTTTCAAAATTGTTACTGGGAACTCTGCACCTTTCCTCAAGAAATACTTCCCACGCAGGCTTTCCAAGCCACTGTGAGCCAATGGTAGAACCACACTCACGGGTGGGCCAGTGATTACCTTACAGGCATTCAGGGAAATCAGCTATCAGTTGAGAGGTATAAATGTGCAATAGCACAACCTTAAGAAAGCATAGAAGTGTGAATTGAGTGGATCTACAGCATGTATAAAAAGCATGTATAAAAATTGACAGAGATGGGAGGATCACTTGAACCCATGTGGTTGAGAGCAGCCTGAGTAACACAGTGATGCCCCCCCGCCCCTGCCATTTAAAATAATAATTAAATACACTAAATATACTAGGTGGGCATGGTGGCAGCCACCTGCCGTCCCAGCTACGCGGGAAGTTGCAGTGTGAGGAGGACTGCTTGAGCCCAAGAGACGGAAACTGCAGAGAAGCATGGTCATGCCACTGCCCTCCACCATGGGCAACAGAAAAATACCCTGAGGAAAAAGAAAAAGCATGTGTAAATGTAGACATAAAATTCTTTATTTCTGTCACAAAAGGTCTTTCTAAGACACACCCCCTACTAAGGGTAACATACAACTCTCTCTTTTCTACGTTTCTGAATCCATGAGAATGGGTGGGCAAGGAACCAAAAAAAATGTCTCGCGTCCCTTTCTTTCTACTACAAACAACCTGGGATTCGGTGAGGGAACAGTGGGAAAACCCTGGCCAGACCTGCATGTGCCTGACTCAGTGTGCATGCCCCTTGCTGCACAAGTCCCTTTGTGGGCATGCACTTCGTCTGTCTGCCTTCTGTCTCTGCAGAGCTGTGCAAGGCGACGTAGTGACTTCCTTCTGCGGTGCCCACTAGGACTCAGCCAGTAGGTTCGCAGACCAGTCCTCCCAGAGTTGAAGAGTGAGAGGGTGTGAGGAGGAGCCCGCGGGCACGGTCCACGGCCTCCTAGGGGAAAGGATCTTGCGGTCTCTGTCCTTCTCCTAACAGGCCAAGATGCAGCATTGTCCTTGCTGTAGTGGGGGTCCTGGACAGGGAAGGCAGCAGGTTCATAGGGCAGAAGAGGGCCTCGTGAACATAGAGTGAGTTTTGAAGGGGAAACTCTTTGTGGTATTTGAGTCCCGGAGGCACAGGAAACCACCCACCGAGGGCACATTCTGAAGTCCTCAGTGGGGACCTGGGACAGGGCGCAGGACTGTTGGGTGCAGGTGGGGTGGGGTAGGCGGGACACGGCAGGGCGCGGCGAGGGGGGGGCCACAGCCCACAATGCGGGCACCAACCTCACTGCGCATGCTCCTGGTGCGCCCACCTGCGTGCGCATGTTCACTGGGCGTCTTCCCATCGGCCCCTTCACCACGTGGTGAACGTCGCGGAGCTGTGAGGGTGTGAGGGTTACTTTACTGCGGTTCAGGCCATTTCTATCGCTACTGAGACTCAGCCGGTAGGTCTGAGTGGAAATGTGAGTGAATGTGAGGAGAAAGCCATAAGGCTTTCCAGGGCATGGGGCAGCGTGGTCCATGGCCTCTTGGTCCATAAAGAATCTTGAGGTGATAGTCCTCCTCATGCCGGGGTGCCATCTTGGGCCTTGTGGTAGGTTCCGAATGAGGGAGGAAGTTGCGCTGTGGAGTTGCGGGGTCAAGTGAAGATGGGGAGACCGCTAGGGGTGCCTGTGGAGGCATCCAAATCTTGAAAGGGTCTGGAGCCCCGGAAACAGGACATATTCCAGACTTCTTCGTAAGGACTCGGGAAAGGGCTGGGTGGGAGGTGAGGAGAGGATCTGGAACACAGTGAGTTAGAGACGGGAGCTCACAGCTATATAGAGCGTTTGGCACAGGTGTCCAGGGAGGAGCACCCAGGGTTTCGTCTCAGTTTCTCAGCTCTACGGTGGAGGTTCGAATGGGTGGGACCCTGCGTTCCAACAAAACTTGATTTTAGGTGGGAAATGGACCTAGAGATGGGTGTGTGATAAAAGCCGTGGTCACTGCAGTTTAAATTCACCAACTGTATTTTTCTAAAGATCTCCACGATAAAGAGTCCAGTTGTGAAACCAACCTCATCGGAAATAACCCTGTGTCATTGGCCAGGAGCCTTAAGACATTGCTTAGGTAGCTTGACCAATTTAAGGGAGTGTGCAAGCATTCGATTCAGAAGGCGCACACACTCACTTGCCCCGAGACTTACTTTCAAAGTATTACAAAATGTCTTTAAAAAATTGCAAGTTGACATTTCACTATGGAAGTGATCAAATATACCTACCCTGTCAAGTGCATTTTCCCAGTCACAGCTTTCTGTTTGCATTGTGAAATATGAATTGGCAAGGGAGATCAAGATAGGCCTAGACCAAGATGATATGTACCATGGATTCAGCTGGTTAGGCCGACAGGCTGATCCCACTGTAAGTTGAAGTGTGAGTGAGGGTGAGGAGGAGACAGCAGGCTTCCGAGGGTCGGGCCTCTTGGTCGGTGACTCCAAGGGAAAAGGGCCTTGAGGCTGTCGTCTTTCTCATACGGCTCCATGGCTGTGGGCCTTCTTATGATGTCAGAGTCAAAAGGAAGGAAGAAGAAGGGCCTTGGAGTGGGTGGCAGGGGCGGGGCACGGCAGTTAGGTGAAGCTGTGGTGATGCTGGGGTGCTGTTGTCAGTATCCAAGTCCCAGAAATGCCTGAAACCCCTAACAGAGGACAGATCAGAGCTGCGACGATGTGGGCGGCAAGGAAGGGGTCTGGAAAGTGGGAACACTCTGGGCTGGTGTTCCCATCCCCAGGGTTTGTATAGCGAACCTCAGAGGTGCCAGCCCGGTGAGGACCCCCCACAACTATGTGGCAACTTCTCAACTCTGTCTTGGAAGTTCGAGTGGGTGGGCTGGGCTCTCCATTCCAACAAAACTTCATTTTGAACTGGAAATGGGCCTAGCAAATGGGTGTGTGACAAAAGCTGTGGGCACATTAATTTTAATTCTCAAGCTGTATTTTCTTAAATGTCTTACTAAGAAGACACCAGTTATGAAACAAAACCTCATTGGAAATACTGTGTGTCTCTTGCCATGAGCCCTAAGGCATTGCTCAGCTAGCTTGATAAACTTAATTGGTTGTGGAAGTATTCAACTCAGAAGGCATACACACTTATACATGCCCTCTGACTGACTTTTCAATGTATTACCATATTTTTTAAAATTGCAAGTTAACATATGGTCTTGGAAGTGGTCAAATATAGTATCCTCTGACGTGCGTTTTTCCAATCACAATATTCTGGGATTTTTTTTTTGTTTTGTTTTTGTTTGGTTTGATTTGATTTTTTTGAGACGTAGTTTTGCTCTTATTGCCCAGGCTGGAATGCAATGGCACAAGCTTGGCTGCCTGCAACCCTCGCCTCCAGAGTTCCAGTGATTCTCCTGCCTCTGCCTCCCTACTTGCTGGGATTACAGGCACCTGCCCGCAAGCCTGGCTAAGTTTTTGTATTTTTAGTAGAGGCCAGGTTTCACCATGTTGGCCAGGCTGGCCTTGAACTCCTGACCTCAGGTCATCCACCCAGTTCTGCCTCCTAAAGTGCACACTGTTCTATTTGCAGAGGGAAATATGAGTGGGCGAGAAAGAAAACATAGACCAATACGACATGTGCGACTTGTTCAGCTGACCAGGCCTGCTGTGAGTGACTTAACATTTGATGTTTTCTATTAGCAGAATTTTGTTGATATTGTCGTAGTGTTGTAGAATTGGTTTATATATACTGATGAAGTTCTCCCATGTTGATAAAAACATAAAATCAAACACCGCATGTTCTCACTCACAGGCGGGTGTTGAACAATGAGAACACATGGACACAGGGAGGGGAGCACTACACACTGGGGTCTGTTGAGGGGAAATGGGGGAGGGACGGGGGGTGGGGGGGAGGAGGGGAGAGATAGCATGGGGAGAAACGCCAGATATAGGTGAAGGGGAGGAAGGCAGCAAATCACACTGCCATGTGTGTACCTATGCAACAATCTTGCATGTTATTCACATGTACCCCACAACCTAAAATGCAATAAAAATAAATAAATAAATTAATTAATTAAAATTTAAATTAAAAAGAAAGTGGTCATGGCAGCTCATGGAGGAAAGAGTAACCCAGAGGACTACATACTAGTTTTGTCTGGATGTGTGATCTTGTGTTCCCCAGATTTGACTGGTGATTTCCTCCGCATGCTTATTTATAGCACAATATACACATTCAACCCCACGTAAATTAAAATGGCATCCAAAGCCATCGAGGGTAACAGTTTTAGACTAACCTCTCTATGGGAAGAGTGACTTTATGAAGAATAGGTATGTGGAATAGTTTTGGGGCACATCTTTAAACATGCGTATGATCAGAAGCATCTATGTAATGTGTATATGCCTATAATTGACATGCATTTAAAAGCAATTTTTTAAATCTGCACACACGCACACACACACACAAACCCCTTTTCCCAGGAGCCCAGTGTGCCAGAGCCTCAACGAGAAAAACCACCAGCTGAAAGTCTGGATCCTACACCTGGTCAGAAGAGAGAAGAAGATCAGGGTGGAGCTAAGATTCGAAGTGCTTGGAAGGGTAAGAAAGAATGTGTATGGGGGGAAGAGGCCTATGTGTGCATCATGCCTTATGCCATGACCAGTAACAGGAGGAAAGAAAACATTGGGAAAGAATCTCAAACATTTATTGAGTGTTGTCTAGAAACGTGATGGGTATAGTTTGCAGCTTCCTGCAGTCCCTGGGTGTGATGAATCTTCTCTTTTTCTTCAAGCTGCATTTTGTATGCTTGAAATTACACTCCTTCCTAAATCAGATGAAACCATTTAATTGGTTGTATGAAAATGTACATTATTGTACTAATTTAATTTGATCTTGTTACGATGTTGCGGTAAGATCTTCTCAGCCATGGTGTCCACAGTGTTGTAAGCACCCTTTAACAGCATGTGGAGTGCCAAGTTACCCTACCTTATAACACCCTGAATAAAGCCCATTTGCAAAGGGATGTTAGCCTCATTTTGTAAATACAACTGTGGCCAGGCACAGTGTCTCACGCATGTAATACCAGCATTCTGGGAGGCTGAGGCGGGCAGATCACCTGAGGTCAGGTGGCATCTGAGAACATCTTGGCCAATATGGTGAAAACCCGTCTCTACTAAAAATCCAAAAAGTAGCTGGGTGTTATGGAACATGTCTGTAATCCCAGCTAAGCCTGCTGAGACAGGAGAATTGCTTGAACCCAGGCAGAGGAGGTCGCAGTGAGGCGAGATCGTGCCACTGCATTCCAGCCTGGAAGACAGAGTGAGACTAGGTCTCTAAATAAATAAATGAATAACAAAACTGAGGCTCAGAGACTGAGACGTACCAAGAACACTTGACTCATGGAGAAAGAATTTATATTTTGTTCCAAGGTTTACATTCTTCCCACCATCTGTGTTAGAAAACGTGAATGATTTTGCTTAAAAATGCTTAATACTCAAATGTATCTGTACTGTAACATACTTCAGTATTGGCTCAGGACTAAATGCAGTTCAGTGAAGCAGGATAGCAACCCCAGAAAAGAGGTCAATGAATGACAGCCACTGTTTCCTTTGGTGTGTATTTTTGACAGTATGTTTGGTAAAAGGTGGATAATTCAGGACACCGGCCTGCAGATAACTATATTAGTAGGATTTTGAAGGGGATTTTAAAAGTCATTTCAGTATTTGTTTAATTATTAAACACAAAGTACGATAAGATTATCATGAAACAAATTGTTTCCTCAACAGATAGCATTTTCAAACTAAAGATAGACAGAATTTTGCCTATGGACTATTTTAGCAATTCACTGTTAAGGGGGTTCTAGAATATGACAGTGATCAATGCCCATTAATTTATTTGCACATCAGTTACCATACTCTCATTGGAAGACAGTGATTTTGCTATTGTATTTTGTACTGTTTATTAATGACATTCATGTATGGAAGGTCACATATAGGGCCTTTGGACCAAGCATTACTTTAATTAAGATTAACCCCAACATTTTCAAGGTACCTCAACAAGGGATGAGTGTCATGACTATAAGATTTTTCATAGGCCCACCAACACATTGATGAACACCTTCAGAAAATTACATTAAGTTTTGATTAAAATGCTATCTGTGGGGCAGCCTTAAGATTTCCTAAACAGCTGTGTGTTGATAATACACAATGGTAAAGTATGGGAAATGTAGGTGTGGTGTGATTTATCCTCAGATTGTCATTTAAGATAAGATATCATAATACAGGAAGACAAAAGTGGGACATCTTTGCATCAGATTTATTACGACAGTAGCCTAGAGGCTTTTATTGCATAACACTGAGGAAAAGAATATGATCATTTCCTTATTTAGCATTCTTGTTTCACTGCTCCAATCTATATCCTTTATATTTTTTAGTGCCTGAACTGAAAGCTGATCTCCAGAAGCTGTCTCAGTCAAAGACTGGGGGTGAATGCGGAGATGGTCGTGATGTACAGGGGAAGAGTGTGCCAAAATCAGAGGAATTTAAAATGCCGGAAGGAGGTACGTTATCCATTAAGATTCAAAATTATGTGCTTTCTTTATTCCACAATATTTTACTTTTGATAATAAAAAGAGAGCACATTACTGCCCCGTGAGAAACAGAGTTTAAATGCAGACTTTCTTTGGAAGGTAGTTCAGATCCCAGAATCCTGACTGCAAAAGTGAAACACTATCAGATACAGACAGAAATTGAGTCAAAGCTATATGGAATCATCAAATCAAAAAAATTTTCTTCTGAGTATCACCAACAGCTAACAATTTTCAGATTATTTTCTCATTTCTGCTTTTCTCAAATACATTGTAACGCCACCTTGTATGAAATATGCCGACCCTGAAGGAGATTCTAGTACCAGCTCTAACACAAGTTTTGAGATTCTGAACAAATCTCATAAGTTCCAAACCTGTTTTTCTTTTATTGAAAGTAGTGAATGCCCATCAGATAGATTCAAATCCATTTCGGTGCTGGTTTCTGGATGCTCTAGTTCTGTTGGAGAGAATACAGAGATATTCTTATTTTCATGATTTGTTTTTCATAATAATGAGCTTCAGTCCAATTATAATATCCAAGTTGAGATTTCATTGTCCCTAAGAAAATGAGTGGGCACTCTGATTGATGTTTGTTTACCTGTATGGAGACTTTCACGAGTGTTCTTGGATTTTGTCAAATCCTGAATTCTCTCAGCGTGTTGAACAATTGCATTTTTTTTTCACACAGAGTCTCACTCTGTCACCCAGGCTGGAGTGCAGTGGTCTGATCTTTGTTCACTGCAACCTTCTGACTCCAGGTTCAAGTGATTCTCATGCCTCAGCTTCTTTTGTAGTGGGAATAGTACATGCTCCCCATGCCCAGCTAATTTTTGTATTTTTAAGAGAGACAAGGTTTCACCTTGTTAGCCAGGCTGGGCTTGAACTCCTGATCTCAAGTGATCCACCTGCCTTGGCCTCCCAGAGTGCTGGGATTATAGGGGTTGAGCCACCTCCCTTGCCAGATCCAATGATTACATTTTAAAGTCTTCCTGCGGTGAAGCCTTGAATTACTGAATAATAAAACGGAAAGAGACAGTCACGTTTTCTGGCTCATGAAGTAGGGATCATGCATATAAATCAGTGATGTCCAAACTGGTTGTAAGATGCCTGTGCTCAGTGTGTTCCCTGCCCTGCTGTAAGTCTTCGTGAGCTACTGTGTGTAATTAGATTGAAGACACACATGGTAACCTCTAACCATATCAGAGGTTATATATTACAGGTTTCTGCCTTGAGTCTTCAAACGATACGATTTAAAGTTCAAAGACTATAACATACTAAGTCCTGAGTAGTCGAAATAGGTATCTTTTATGCATGTTTCCCAAATTGCTGACTTAATTAAAAGAACCTCTGAATTGAAAGGAAGCACTGCATGTTTAGGGGAGAAATTACCTAAATGTTTGTACTCCACACTGCTGAACAACTTTATTAGACTATCTACATTAAAAGACTGTTTTCAGACGATTTCCAGGAGCCTATTGACCAAGCTTCAATTGCATTCTTAGGATAGTCATAGCATTAAACGTATATCTTATTAAAATAGACAGTAAATTACGTGATACAAGAAAATAATATTAAATTAAAAAATAATAAATGAGTCACAGAATAAACTTAAGAGAAAAGGAAACAGGCGGTAAATGAAAGATGCAAATCCTTAAAAAAGCAAAACTAATCTGAAAGTAATACATTTAATAGATTGGGTTTTTTTTTTTTTTTTTNGAACTGCTGACCTCAGGTGATCCACCTGCCTCGACCTCCCAAAGTGCTGGGATGACAGGTGTGAGCCACTGAGACTGGCCACTTCCTCCTCCTCCGCTGCTGCTGCTGCTGCTGCTGCTTCTTCTTCTTCTTCTTCTTCTTCTTCTTCTTCTTCTTCTTCGATTTTATTGGTGTTTGTTTTCACACAGTCTCACTCTGTCACCCAGGCTGGAGTGCAGTGGTCCGATCTTTTTTCACTGCAACCTTCCGCCTCCAGGTTCAAGCGATGCTCATGCCTCAGCCTTTTTTGTAGCTAGGAATAGTACATGCTCCCCATGCCCAACTAATTTTTGTATTTTTAGTAGAGACGGGGTTTCACCCTGTTAGCCAGGCTGGGCTTGAACTCCTGATCTCAAGTGATCCACCTGCCTTGGCCTCCCAAAGTGCTGGGATTATAGCGGTTGAGCCACCTCCCTTGCCAGACCCAATGGTTGCATTTTAAAGTCTTCCTGCCGTGAAGCCTTGAATTACTGAATAATAAAACAGAAAGAGACAGTCACGTTTTCTGATTCATGAAATAGGGATCATACTTGTAAATCAGTGATGTTCAAGCCAGTTGTAAGATGCCTGTGCTAGGCATGCTCGCTGCTCTCCTGTAAATCTTCCTAAGCTACTGTGTGTAATTAGACTGAAGACACACATGGTAACCTCTAACCATATCAGAGGTTATACATTACAGGTTTCTGCCTTGAGTCTTCAAACGATACGATGTAAAGTTCAAAGACTATAATGTACTAAGTCCTGAGTAGTCTACATAGGTATCTTTTAGACATATTTTCCAAATTGCTGACTTAATTAAAAGAACCTCTGAATTGAAACGAAGCACTGCTTGTTTAGGGGAGAAATTACCTAAATGTTTGTACTCCACATTGCTGAACAACTTCATTAGACTATTTACATTAAAAGACTGTTTTCAGACGATTTCCAGGAGCCTATTGACCAAGCTTCAATCGTATTCTTAGGATAGTCATAGCATTAAAAGTATATCTTATTAAAATAGACAGTAAATTACGTGTAAATAATATTAAAATAATAAATGAGTCACAGAATATACTTAAGAGAAAAGGAAACAGGCAGTAAATGAAAGACGCAAATCATTAACAAAAGTAAAACTAATCTGAAAGTAATACATTTAATAGATTTTTTTTTTTTGAGAAATAGCTGGGAAGGGAGCATCCAGTAGATTAAACACTCTTGAAGAAAATGGAAAAGGCACAACATGGAATATTAGTGAACAAGGCACAGGTATTGAATGTAGGGCATAACTGAAAGGGAATACATTCTTGAACACTAATGTTTTCAGAGTGTGGATCAAACGGTTGAAACGCCAGAAATGCCTACATTATTTAATATATTCCTGCAATACCTCAGTATCTGAACGTCACAAAGGCTGTGGAAGAACTTGTGAAATTTGCCAGTTGTCCCTCAAAAACAGTTACTTCTAGAAGGAAATATTTAGCTTTTCCAGATGTCAAACTCTTCGATTTGTTTCCCTCTCCTTTTTTTTTTTCCACACTGGTTATGATGTATAACTCTTTCACATTTTAATATATATCATGATAGTGATACCTTAAAACACATATGACCATTTAATTAATTATATAAATCAGAATACTTTCCAGTGAAAAATGTGTCATTATTTATATTGACATGAGGACTATAGGTGAAAACTGGATGCAAATGGTTAGTGTATGTTAAAGAAAAAAGAAGGGCAAACTAGGTCAAAGGAATATTATTGCACTTCCACACAATAGAGAGAAAAAAACACAAAACTGTCCTTTCTGTTCACTTCACTTAATGTATTTCCTAATGTGACATTAACTGTTTTCTCAAAAGATAGTTTTCAGACTATTTGCAGGAGCCTATTGGATATCCAGGCCATAGTTTCAAGCCAAAACATTAAATTATACATTTTTTTCTGAAGGATTTTTTTTTTTCAGAAATTCCTTCTGTTTCTTAGGATTTTGTGTTCTGGTTGTAGTTCGAGTAAAACTCTACACAATGTTTGCTATCTAATCTAAGCCCCTTCTAATAGGCTCACTTGATTTAATGTGTTCTGACCTTGGACTGTCTTTTGGTTTCCTTCTAGCACTAAAAGCAGGGTGTGCTTAAACAATGTTGCTACTGTATATGCATGGAAGTGTATCTTCAGAGTGTCTACAGAGGTCTAGTTGAATGTTAGCCATATGGTGACTCTTGGGCTTCTGGTTTTAGTCCATTGTATAAAATGAAAACTTTGATGTCCTTTGCATACCTTTAATTTCATCTGAATACAGTTGTGCTAGTAATGTTCCCTCCTGTTATGTTTCTCTTGCAGCAGAAGAGAAACCACAGGTTTAAACGAAGACGAGCTGAAAGAATGCAAACTGCATTTATCTGAGATATTTGACTTTTAAAAATCTCAATAAAGTTTTCCAGTTTTCTCCAAAGAAGTTTTGCACATGTTTTGTTCATTGATTCTCACGTAATAGACACTATTGAAAATTTTGGCCTGGTGAAGTCGCTCACACCTATAATCCAACAGATGGGGATGCTGAGGCAGGAGGATTGCTTGAGCTTGGGAGATTGAGATGTGCCTGGGCAACATGGCAAAACGCCTTCTCTACAAAAATAAATGAATGAATGCATGAATGTATCCTGTGTGTGTGTAGGTGCAGCCCCAGCTACTCTGGAAGCTGAGGTGGGGGATCCCTTGAGCCTAGGAGTTCGAGGATGAAAGTAGTCATGTTTAAGCCACTGCAACTCCAGCCGGGGTGAATGAGACTCATGTCTGAATAAAAAGCATAATTTTTCCAACTTTGTATTCTGATTTGGCTGGTATACACCTGTGTATTATCATGAAATATATATTTTGTGCTGGACCTTGCTTACTGTTATACAACTACAATTTGTAGAAACTCCACATGCTGGTGCCTTTTTGTATGCTAGTGAGTTGACCAATGACTGGGAGCTCCTAGGCAGCTCTAGGATCGGGAATTAGAGGGTTAGCCTTTCAGCCCCATCCCCAACCTTCAGGACACAGAGAGGGCTGAGGTTAAGTTAATTTCCAATGGCGGGCCAACAGTTTAATCAATCATGCCTATACAATTAAACCTCCATCAAAACCCAAAAAACAGGGTTCAGAGAGCTTCTACCTAGCTGAACACATGGAGGGTAGCATGCTCATAGAGGCCATGGAAGCTCCCCGCCTCTTCCATCATTCCTTCCCCTATGTATGTCTTTATCTGCATCCTTTGTTAAGATATGCCATTTGCCACAAAATATGTGAGAATTCCCTAGGCTATAGAGCTGGATGCAAGAACTAGGGCCTAGGTAGACAAAGGGGGAAAGCAACCAGGGAAACTTGCTGAAGCAAAATTACTTGGATCCTACCTACACTGTCTCCTTACAGGCTATGGCATGACACAGCCGTGGGATTCCATCCTGCCTCTCACACACTGGCCTTGAGATGGTGGGCAAGACACTTATATCCTGTCAGACTGTTTCCCCATTTCTAAAGTAGAAATTAGAATATTTACACTAAATACTTGCTAACAAGAATAAATGAAATAACATAGGAAGCAGACATTACACTAAAGATAAATACACTAGTTATCATTCCTTAATCCCTTTAACATTTCAAATATTTTCATTCCATTTTTGTTTACAACTACATCTCTAGTATGTGTTAACTGCTTTGGAATTTCAAGTAAGAATATCAAACTACCTTTTTAAATGCATTTGACTTCAGAACCTTATTTGATTTAAATATATAAATTAAATAGCATTGTGGCAGGTATCAGACATGGCATGGATTCCGAAGCTGATATGTAAATAATCGAGGTGTGACAAGGCCAACCCTGTGTCAGTAGTATGTGCCGAAAACTTGTTTGGTGTGTTTGTTGCCATGAAGAGTAAGTCTATTCCAGTCAGACAGCACCACACAATTCAGTATTGTAGTGTGTCAAGAGCTCAGGCAGTCCCTAAGCAGCCCTGTGGTGGCCAACGAGGCCACAAGGATCGCCAGTTCAGTTGTTATTTTGGCTTGTGATACATTCGTAAACTTGACGGGTAAGAAGACTGAGCCTAAATGGAACGAAGTGGTTGATTACTTGAAGACGCAGCAAAGGCAGGATCAACATTGTGTCAGCGCAGTGTTCGTAGACCCACAGTACGACACTGAATCGGAGATACTCAGTGACAGCACAGATGGTGGGTCTCTCGTCCTGTGAGGAGCCCACAGTCATACCCTAAGGCCAATTTTGAAACCACACTGAATCCTGAACCCAAAATCACACTTGACGGAGCTGGGACTATGGGACAGCAGGGGTGACCCAGCTCCAAAACATCCCACACAGAACACCTAGGGGTGTCATCCACGCTTGTGAAGAGGAGGAACCCGTGTCAATGACCACCCTGAAATGACTGCCTTCTGACAGTTCCCCTAAACCAAAGATGCAAATCAATTGTTTGGACTGGAGGAGGAACCTTAGAGGGAAAGGTCCCTCAGTGGGAGGCTGTTGGGGGACTTTGCCAGCTCCTGCCTGATGAAGGTATGTCCTTCTGAAGTTGGCTAACAAGGGTAAACTCTCTGTATCCAGGGGTGTCACCTGTGCCCTCTGGGATTATTCTTACATATATGCCCTGACTATCCCATCACTGCCTCATCCCTTGAAGGCATCCACATCAGCTTCAGCTTCAGCTTCCTGAATGGAGTTGTGCTGAGCCTAAAATGATGGCTTGGGCTATATAAAAATGGTTAATACAGAATCTTAGGAAGTCACCTGCCTTTGTCAGATAGACCTTCATCATTGATAGGATTTGTGTAAGATGGCCATGATGGGAAATCTGATATGTCAATTTTGCTAGGCTGTGATGCGTGAGAAATGTTCACTTTGACTAGAGTTGACGTCTCTGTGAATGGTTTTCCTTATGTGAGAACTAGCATTTAAATCAGCAGACTTTGGGTAAACCTAATTGCCCTCCACAATGTCGGTGGGCCTCATCCAGTCCCTTGAAGGCCTTCAGAGAAGAAGACTGGGGTCCCTCCTGAAGGTGAAGATGTTCTGCCTCTACACTGCCCTTGGATTTGTGCTCTCATATTGCCTCTTCTCCGGGTCTCCAGCCTGACATCCTGCTCTCCGAGATTTGGACTTGCTAGTCACAACACATCCATGAGCTAGGTTCAAAGTCAATCTCTCTCTCTCCACCCACACATACATTTGTGCTTGTACATGAGCGTGTGTGCGCTCACCCACTCCCCGCCCCCCCCCCACACACAGAGGAACCCTAACCGATAGGCTGTTTACATCTGGGACCCTTAAAGGACATAACTGAGATTAGTACTGCAGGTTGCTCTCACTCTGCTGCACGGCTCCTGATGCAGAGGCCTGTGGCAGTTGCATCACATCCACTGACATCCATGTTACTGATCACTGCGACTCAGGGTTTGCTCATCCAATAATGTAGAGATCACTAGAGTTCCACAAGTGTTCCCTGCTCTCCTCCTGGCTGTGAGATCCTCTGTTCTATTCTGAGAACACAGAGATCTACTGGGTTTGTTTCCAACCTTCGAGGAAGGACCTGGGAGCCTGGTGAGGGAGGTTCACCTGCAACAGCAGTAACAGCAACGGGCACAGCCAGTGTGTTCGCCAACTCATGAGAGACCACATTACCAACATCTCCCACTTAAGTTTCCCCGTCAACTAATAGCTTATCCTGGAAGTAATCACATTTATAGGTCAGTTGGATTATCCTTATTCTATTTTCCCCAGGAATGCTAAGTTACAAAGGAAACTGATACTGGAATGTTATGTCAGAGTGCAATCCAAGAATGGAGTGCCCTGAAGTGGTGTGACTTCCGAAGCAGCCAATAAGGGCTTAAAGGTTCCCAGATGAAGAAACATGTCAGCCTCCCTCAGTTTACAGGGAAGTGACATGTATGGAAAATCCAGTTTATTGAAGACTATGGAAAGAGATGTTTGCCTCCTTGTAGCACTCAGTCCCCAAATGCCAGGAGCCCCTACGAATTATTCCAACAACAACAACTGCACTTGGAAACGTCCAATATATCCCAAACTAGGCCATGATAGTCTGGCTATAAACCACAAGTTTATGATGAAAAGAAGTATCCTCAAACTTGTTATTTACATCAAAAGATTAGGAATATTGCATTTGGTACACGGGAAATAACACGGCACAAAGGAAGAGGACACAATGTTCCCAAGAGGTGTTACAGGCCCCTTCCTCCTCTGTCTTGCTTTGCTTTCTGTGATAAGAAAGTGTTTCAGGGCTAGGCATGGTGGCTTAAGTCAGCCTAGGGAACGTAGGGAGATCTGGTCTGAGCAAAAAAAAATTCTAAAAAACGACCAGGCATGGTGGGGTGTGTCTGTAGTCCCAGCTACTTGGGAGGCTGAAATGGAAGCATCACATGAGCCAGGGAGTGAGCCATGATTTCTCTACTGCACACCGGGCTGAGCAAGAGTGAGACACCATCTCAAATAAAACAAAAACAAAGAAAGTGTTTCAGGGCAATCTAGGGTGTGTGGTGAAGCTTCATTTCAAAGGTCAATCACTGCTATGGGACATTTATGCTCAGGTTGTTTCTGTGGTAGTCACAGCTCTGAGATCCTGGGACTGATGTCTTTCTTGGTGAGAACAGCCCTCTCCAGGCTGGGACACAGGAGGAAGGGGCCTGGCTAGCTCGTCAGGCTACTAGGGACAGCTGTCTGCTGTGGGATCACAGATGAGATCAGGAGAAGGACAGCTGAAAGAAGGAGACGGGAGACTACCTCCACAGACTAGGGGCCAGTGTCTGTTAGTGAAGGGAAGATATTGGCCCTACATCCTGACATTGCTCTAGGCTCCTGTGGAAGGACATGATGGGGCCAGAAAGAATCCAGGGCTGATGGGAGGAGCAGAATAGCTGGTATCACCTCCCGTCCTATGTGCCCAATGGTCCCTGAGAGGAGCCCATGCAATTTTGGAATCTAAAAGGTTATTTTCTGACATTCCCTCCATTCACCACCCATGAAGAGAAGAGACTTGAGATAATCTGAGGCCTTCAGTGAGAAAGGCCAGACAGAGTTGTGAGGCCTCCTCAAATATCCCTCTGGCCTACCCTTAAATGGTGAGTCTCACACTAGTTCATCCTGTCCTGTGTTCCTGTGTGCTCTGAGGTCACTCTTCTCAACCTCATGTGTGTCCTGGGAAGAGTGGGTATATTGCAGACAGTCTTGCTAGCTAAGGGATTTAATAAGGTTTCTGAAAGTTCCCTAGGCTGGCCAGTAAGCTCCCAGATCCTAGGGCATCATTCTGATTACACTATATGAGATCCACCAGGTGTGAATCCTGGAATCTTAATTTTAATGGATCCTGGTTTCCAACTTACACAGAAACAGGCCTGAGAACTAAGAGGAGGGGAATAGTTTCCTTTCTCAGCTACACAGCTTCTTT